CTGGTTAATGAAACACTGGAATGTCAGCACAGTGCTCTGCCTCTTTCAGATGGCAGCCAACAGTGTTTTGTAGCTACTCACCCCTGCAGAAGGAGCTGTTACCTTCCACCTGCGGTCAGATCAAGCCATCAGCTCTCCTTTAGCATGTAGCTCAAGAAACCGCACTGACCTTTGAAAGGTATGAAAAAACCAGCCAGTTATTGGACCCGCACTCAGCTCCAGGTTCGGCTGCGTACGTCTTATCTCAAATTCCTGGCGTGTTATTAGTCGGGCTCCCAGCACAGCTTCCCCGAGAACTGTCTTCATTCAGGAGGAGGGACTCTCCTGAGCCGTCCATCTGCTACCTCCTCGTTCTGTCGATGCGATCAATTTCTCTTCTCCTTACCCTCAGACCTTGTCTGCATTATTCTGATTTGGCACCGTTGACAAGACCCAGACTTTTGGTACCAGCCCTGGGTTCATCAGCTGTCGCTTCCTGGTTCTCTCTGCCCCAGCCCCTGACAACCACTCACAGACGTGCCCCTGACAACCACTCACAGACGTGCCCCTGACAACCACTCACAGACGTGCCCCTGACAACCACTCACAGACGTGCCCCTGACAACCACTAACAGACGTGTGATTGCCGTGCTGTTGCCTTTTCTGAACATTTCATGTAAACAGAACCATACAACATGCAGCCTTTTGTGTCAGGCTTCTTTCACGTAGCCATAATGTTTCCCAGGTTCATCTGCGTCACAGTGTATTTCGGTACTCCATTCCTTTTATGGCTGAGTGATAGCCCAATGTGTGGCTATCACACAATTTGTTTAGCCACTCATCAATTATGGACATTTGGGGTTTGGGACATTTTGTCTACTATGAATAGTATTGCTATGTACAGTATTTTTTTAAAAAATATATATTTATTTATTTGAAAACCAGAGTGATATATAGAGAGAGATAGAGAGACAGGGGGAGAGACAGACAGACAGAGATATCTTCCTTCTAGTGGCTCGCTCCCCAAATGCCCACAACAGCCAGAGCTGGGTCAGGCTGATAGAGAGGGGTAGAGGGAGAGAGGGAGCGAGGGAGGGAGAGAGAGAGAGAGAGAGAGAGATTCCATCCACTGGCTCACTCCCAGATGGCTGCAATAGCTGGAGCTGGGCCAGGTTGAAGCCAGAAGCCAGGCACCTCATCTAGGTCTCCCACATGGATGACAGGAACCCAAGTTCTTGGGCCATCATCTGCTGTCTTCCCAGGCACATTTGCAGAAAGTTGGATGGGAAGCACAGGGTAGCCAAGATTCAAATAGGCATCTCAAATAATAGCTTACCTTGCTGGGCCACAATGACAATCTCTCACGTATAATAAAATATTTTTAATTCTCTTGAGGGTGTATCTAGGAATAGAATTGCTGGGTCACATAGGAATTCTATTTCTAACAATTTGAAGAATTGCCAAATTGTTTTCCATTTTATATCTGCACCAGTAATGTATAAGGGTGCCAATTGCACCACACGTTTGATACTATTTAACTTTATTTTTTCTAGCCAGTCCAGTAGTTGCAAAATGGATTTTGATTGTATTGTAGTTTTGTTTTATACTTCCCTAATATCTAATAATACTGAGCATTTTTTAATGTGCTTATAGCCCATTTTATTTCTCTAGAGAAATATCTCTTTAAATCCTTTGCCCGCTTTAGAATTAGGTTGTCTTCACTTTCCTGGTGCTCATGCTCTAACGGCCACCTCTAACAGCACCAAATCAAATCTCTCCACTGTCAGCTGTCTTTTGGAGGACGTACGTAATAAGGTTTTTATTTAGTACACCAATCCTATGCATGGTTTCAGCACTAGCCAAACCTCACCAACTCCTAGCTCTAGCAAACAGGCACTTGGCACCCTTGTGACGTCATACAGAGAAGTCACAGGGCAGTCCCCGAGGGTCTGTAGGTTGCACACTTTGGTACCAGATAACTTTTTTTTTTCTTTATAAGAAAGACCGAGTACTCCACACTGCACAATAACTCCTCCCAGGGTTTTAACTTTGTTTTATTTTCAAAACCAGGTCCAATGAGCTTTCTGAACAGCTGGTGTGGCTACAGAGAAACCAGCTTCCTTCAGAGAGCAGTGCTTTTGGCGGGGAGGAGGCAATCCCTTCATACTTGAACATTTTCTAATTGCTTATTTATTGTATTCTGGGGGGTGGCGTAAGTACAGAGAAGCCATCTCCTCAGATGGCAGCTTTTCAAAGATTTTTCTTTCTCTCTCAACACCATGATTCCTTTAACAACATGTTTCCAGCATTCCCAGGTAGGCCAAAGTGTCCTACAGAAAAACCTTGGGTTAGACCTACAGGGGGTCTGGCTGGTGTTACCGGAAGGGAGGGCAGAGCTGGTGCGGCTGGCCATGGAGCAAGCGGACTTGGCTGGTGTGGTACAGAGAAGCCAGCTTGTTTACATGCTTCATCCATGACTGCTTGCCCTAAGCAGAAAGTGCCTTTCAGGATCTATTTTTGGAGGTTTATTACGTATGTCTGGTTCTCAGTTCCAACAGTTTAATGAAGATCTAAATAAAATGCTAGGTTCTACCTTAAAGAAGATTGCCAGGCTGTCTTTTTATTAATGAGCTGTAGGAGCTCTCACCTATTCTGGAAGCTAGACTCTTTACCAGACTTGTGATCTGCAAGGAGCTTCTCCCATTTTAAATCTGTCTTTTCACTTTCTTAATAGAGTCCTTTCATGCACAACAAAAGTTTTAATTTTGATGAAGCTTGATTTATCTGTTTCCCTGTTGCTGCGTGCATTTTTGGAGTCATATCTAAGAAACTGTTGCCTAATCCACGGTTACACATTTAAATCTGTGTTTTAAGAGTTTCATAGTTTATGAAGGTAATTGAAAATGAAACGTGATGAAGGGCGGGATGGGAGAGGGGGTGGGTGAGGGGAGGGTCACAGGAGGGAGGGAGGTTGGGGGGGAAGCCACAACAATACAAAAGTTGCATTTTATATTCTACTTAAAACTATTGGTTGAACTCTGTAATTAATACACAATTACTCTTAGGTGTTTAATTAATGCTATAACTAGTACTCAAATAGTATTTTACACTTTGTGTTTCTGTGTGGGAGCAAAATGTGGAAATCTTTACTTAATATACGCTAAATTGATCTTCTGTATATAAAGATAATTGAAAATTAATCTTGATGTGAAGGGGAAGGGGAGAGGGAGTGGGAGAGGGGAGCGTTGTGGGTGGGAGGGAAGTTACGGGGGGGGAGGAAGCTATTGTAATCCATAAGCTGTACTTTGGAAATTTATGCTCATTAAATAAAAAAATAAAGAAAAAAGAAAAAAGAGTTTCATAGTTTTAGTACTTACATTTAGATCTTTGGACCTATTTTGAGCTAATTTTTGCATATGGTATGAGGGAGGGGTCCTAATTCATGTATTTGCATATGATCAGTTGTCTGATTATTAATTATTGCTATTTTTTCCCCACTCAAGGGTCTTGACATCCTTTCCAAAAATCAACTGGGTTGGCCGGCGCCGCGGCTCACTGGGCTAATCCTCTGCCTGCGGCTCTGGCACCCGGGTTCTAGTCCCGGTCGGGGCGCCGGATTCTGTCCCGGTTGCCCCTCTTCCAGCCCAGCTCTCTGCTGTGGCCAGGGAGTGCAGTGGAGGATCGCCCAAGTGCTTGGGCCCTGCACCCCATGGGAGACCAGGAGAAGCACCTGGCTCCTGCCTTGGGATCAGCACGGTGCGCCGGCCGCAGTGCGCCAGCCGCGGCGGCCATTGGAGGGTAAACCAACGGCAAAGGAAGACCTTTCTCTCTGTCTCTCGCTCTCTCTCACTGTCCACTCTGCCTGTCAAAAAAAAAAAAAAATCTCATCTTTGCGTGAGACAAGGGCCTGGAAAAACATGAGCATGTTTATGCCCACAACAACGCTGTCTCTCTGCCCTTCCAAATAAACAATAACTCCATACAGAAAACCTAGAGCCCAGTGTCTTTGTCACATGCTAAGCACTCTAAGACAAGGGGGTGGGTGGGGGAGCACATTTTCACCCTACAGGAGCTAAATGTTGACGCAGCCTAACTTGCATTGCAGAACACCGTCTTCCTCTGGGCCAGCCAGGAGTCTACCGTCTGTGACTGCACTGCCGTCAAGGTTCCGGGCAGAGACCCCTCTCTGTCCTAGGGAATCAGCTAACACTCCACAGACGGGCTGGGGCCTCCCCTCACCCGCAGAACAGGTGGATGAGGGGCCTGAGGCGGGCAGAGGACCTCCTGGGAGAAGCTTGGGCAGGCTTTTCTGTCGCTGTGGCGGGTGCTGTTAGCCTGGCACACGCGCACTGGAACAAACTCGGACTCTGAAGGCATTTTTTTTTTTTTTTTTTTTTTTGCCTCAGGCCTCCGTTTCCCTGGCCTCTGAGAAGTTCAGCACATCTGAAGGAGGGGACAGACATCTTTTGGGGGTCCCTGTCTGTCTGGCCTATACCATTCTAGAAGGGTCCCATGACCTCTGTATGAATGTCTGTGAGGAGTGCCCGCCCCGGCCTGTGCCGGGCCACTCCGCCCAGCAGCTGAGCAGTGACAGCAGTCAGTCTCTCTCTCTCTCTCTCTCTCTCTCTCTCTGCCTCCTGTCCATCCAGCAACCCAAACCTTGTCACCTGTGGGGTGGGACGCAGGACCATGACTGCATATCCAGGGACACTTGGGCACATCGGAGTGCCTTTTTGTCCAAATTCTTGCTTTTTTTCTTACAAATGAATGGGAGTGTGTGTTATTTTAGAATAGATCTGAGCTTAATAAAAATGGTTTGCTATAGAGAATTTCTGAGCTAGGTCGACATCACCTATCCTCAGACAGAGAAACACAGAATTTGCCCCGTTTGGGTTTTTGCAAACAGAGCCATGAAGGCCAAAGAAGCGGGTAGAATAAGCTCAGCGCCCGGAGGACCCAGCGGCTCCTCTCTGGCCTTCTCCCGGCCGCTGTCGCCGCCTCCCACACCCCTTCCTCCGCCCCGCGCCGCCCTGGCCGCCGCTGCCTTCTCATTCCGGGCGTTTGACCCAGCACAAGCCTGTTCCCGCCGGAAGCCCGAAGGCCAGTGTGCTGCGGAGCCGTCCCCACCGCGCCCCGCACCCGGTAACCGCGCGCCCACCCTCTGCCCTCCGCGTCCCTCCGGCTGGGTCACGTTCACGAACCGCGCCGCGCCTCCCCCGCGCAGGCTCGGGCGCCCGGGCTTGCAGCTTCGGCCTCCCGGGCTTTGCAGCTTCTGCGGGTTCCCGCAGCTTCCTGTCGGAAGCTGAGAGGGCTGCGCGGCGCCGGCGCCGTTGGGGGCTCAGGAGCCTGGAGTGGAGCCCAAGGCCCATGCACACTCCGGAAGGGCTCGACAGCCGTGCCGCCTCCACCCAGCTGGCGACCAGGCCCTGTCCCAGGCCTTCTCAGGGGCTCTTGGCTTCCCTTTACTTTGCATTCTCCTTTTATTGGCAGATTTTCTGCTGGGATCCGGCCCAGAGGAGCCACATGGGAGAAATCACTGGCTTACTCCCGAAGCCATGGGGCTGGGTCCCTGCGCACCAGGCCAGTACAAGGCCTGGCTTTCTTCCTCAGTGTCACCCCTCGTGGGCTTCTGTGTGGCTGACCTTAGGTTGAATCCGAGGAAGTGCACAGCCCTTCCCCTCCCTGGGTATGGGAGGTGCAGGTGGATTCCAGGAACGCCCTGGACACCGAGATGCATGGATGGTGGAGACCCTTAAGTAACGCGGCCCAGCATTGGCCTGTATCCCCTCCTCCCTCCGAGGCTGTAGTTGTCGCTAGATGACCTGCAACACCCAACACGGGGTAAATGCTATGCGGGTCGCTTCGCCGTATTGTTGAGGGAGTAAGGACAAAGAACAAAGTCTGCATGTTCAGTGCAGGCCCAGGTTTGGGGGCGGAGGGGAGGGGAATTTTCCATCCGCACTTGGTTGACTCCTGGGGAGTGGGATCCACAGATAGGCGGGCTCTCTGGGAGGTGTCTGTGGCTTTGTCCTGGGAATGGTGTCCCTGGAAGTCCTTGGACAACACGGGGACAGTCTGCCCCGTGAGGAGCACGAGCCTGGGTCCTGATGAGGGCAAATGTGTCCACATCCTCCCAAATCTGGGAGACCCACGGAGGCTCCAGTGCCCTGGCTGTGGTGTGCTCCACCAGGGCCATTCCACATACGTTTTATTTTGCTGCGCCTGCAAGTCCCTGTCCCTGCCCTCACTCCTTGCAGCAGGCTCTTTGGCAGCCTGCTTGTAGCATTTTCTTGGTCAGGTCCTGTGAAGTGGCCTGGCCAGACTCCAAGGTCTTGGGCAGTTTGCATTGCATTCTCTTGCCACAGAAACCCCTGTCTTTATTGAGGGCGCAGCCAGGCCCTGGTCCCCGACCCTGGTTCTGTTTTGTGAAACCTTGAGCCTTCATTGCTCATCCAGTAGGGTTGGCTTTTGGAGTTAATGGTGTCCTATACTGGGTGACCACATGTCCCAGTTTGTCAGAGACAGTTCTGGCTTGTCTCTCCATTGTCCCATGTCAAGTGTTCCCTCTCAGTTTGGAGAGATTCATGATTTGGGTGGTCAGTGTGTCTCTGTCTCTAAATTGGATACACGTGGATCTGTAGGTAGCCAAGGAGGGACCTGGCAGCCCGCATAGGACTCACGCTGGGCTCACGGGTGTCAGAGCCGCAGTCTAGGAAACCAGAATTCCTCCAGGTCAATGCTAGCTCCCTCTCCTTACAGTGGAGAGCTTCAGGTGCAGTTGTCCCCAGGGGCAGGGGTTGCCATCCACCCTCTGCACAAGACTCCAAGCCGGTACTGAGAGCTACTTCTGTTCAAATTCATCCCCAGAGTCACTGTGGGGCTTCAAAACCAGAGCGCCTAAGTTCACTGCCATGGTCCAGAGCAAGGTGCTCAGAGTGCAAGCCAGCTCCTTGGCCCGGCACCTGGCTTCCGAGAACCCAGCTGATGAGCCAGTGTGACAGAGGGTGGGTCTAGCGTGCCCTGGGACGCTCCCCACGGGGAGAAGCAGAAAGCTCTGGGTCCATGCTGGCCTCTTTGCCATGGCCAGAGAGTTTGAAGGACAGCACGGCAACATGTCTAAGTATTCTAGGGTTCAGCTGAGAGGGGGGGCCAGAGGGTATCAACCAGGATGACCACGATCCCAGTGTGCCTGCATTGAGTGGTTTCCTGGGACATGGGCCCATGAGTATTTTTTTAAAGACTTATTTATTTATTTGAAAGCCAGAGTTACACAGAGAAAGGAGAGGCAGAGAGAGAGAGAGAGAGAGAGAGGTCTTCCATCCGCTGGTTCACTCCCCAGTTGGCCACAACGGCCAGAGCTGCGCCAATCAGAAGCCAGGAGCCAGGAGCTTCCTCTGGGTCTCCCACGCCGGTGCAGAGGCCCAAGGACCTGGGCCATCTTCCACTGCTTTCCCAGCCACAGTAGAGAGCTAGATCGGAATTGGAGCAGCCAGGTCTCGAACCAGCGCCTATATGGGATATTGGCGCTTCAGGCCAGGGCATTAACCCACTGTGCCACAGTGCTGGCCCCAGGGGGCCCATGAGTTTTAAAACCAGGCAAGTCCTGGGCAAACCAGGAGGAGCTGCTCACCTGTCTCAGTGCTGGCTGCGCCCTCGGTTCGCTCCAGGAGGTTCTCATTTAGAGAGTAATTGACACAGGTGGGACCCCAGGAAAGTGCCAGTTTCAAAGCTTCCAGTTGACCCAACAAACTACCAGAGTCGAGAACCAGTAGGTTCTAGGCAGCCCCCCTAAGTAACTCTCACAGGTGGCTGTGTCCTGAGAAGTGGTCCCAGACAGCCCTCAAGGGGGGATGACCTGGTGCATCGGTGTTCTCCATATCAAGAGCAGCATGGAAATGGGGGTTGCAATTGTCCCAACCCCAAGGCTTCCTTTCGCGCCAGTGAGGACCAAACTTTTTCTTTTCCTGGCATTCTCCACTACCCTTTTCCCGAGCTAGTGGGTCAGTAGAATCACCTCATTTTGAGGGGAGGGGTCACGCTTGGCACAGTCCCAGGTGAAGCTGGCATGTGAGACTTGGAAGTGGGCTGGACCAGAGGCTGGCTGGGAGGGGCTGTGTGTGCCTCGGCTTCACCTTGCGGGGCGCTGGCCGCTTGGAGAGCAGGTTCCTCTGGACTGTCCCCCTGCAGGCCCGCAGGACCATGTGGTACGTCAGCACCCGGGGGATGGCCCCCCGCGTCGACTTTGAGGGGGCCCTCTTCTCTGGCTATGCACCTGACGGCGGCCTCTTCATGCCGGAGGAGCTCCCACACCTGGACAGGGAGACCCTGCGTGCGTGGAGCACGCTCTCCTACCCCGGCTTGGTGAAGGAGCTGTGTGCCCTCTTCATCGGTCCCGAACTCATCCCAAGGGATGACTTACACGGTGAGTACCCCCGCCCCGGGCCCCTCCCCCAGCTCAGCCTCCACTACCTGGTCTCTAGGAAGGCTCTGGTCCCCTTTCCCAAAATCGGGGGATTCTTGCTGACTGTAGGATTGGAAATATTCAGAATGAGGTCATATGTCCAGGTTCTCTCCTCCAGCGAGATGAAAGCTGAAATGATCTGTAGTGAATTTGTTTAGTTGATTTTTTGAAAAAAAGATTTATTTATTTGAAAGGCAGAGAGAGAGGGAGGGAGAGAGAGAGAGGGAGGTCTTCCATCTGCTGGTTCACTCCCCAGATGGCTGCAATGGCCGGAGCTGTGCTGATCCCAAAGCCAGGAGCCAGGAGCTTCGTGTGTGTCACCCACACGGGTGCAGAGGCCCAAGGACTTGGGCCATCTTCTACTGCTTTCCCAGGTCATAGCAGAGAGAGGGATTGGAAGTGGAGCAGCTGGGATTTGAACCTGCGCCCATATGGGATGCCAGCACGGCACTGCAGGCAGCGGCTTTACCGCTATGCCACAGCTCCAGCCCCTTGTTTATTTTCAACAAGCCTCTTCAAGGCTAAGGACTTCACAATCTTGAGTCTGAGTGTTTTCCCTCCTGCATATAAAGCACTTGGACCCCAGCTTGCTGTTTTATTTCCTTTAATAGATACCAATTGCTGTTTTATTTCTTTGAATGCTAATTCTAGAAGGGACTAGAGGAATGTCCTGAGCTAGCTCATCTCAAGATGCAGTGTGCCTGTGGATTTCTCCTGGGGTCTTGTTACAAAGCAGATGCTGATTTAGCAGGTCTGGGGTGGGTCTGAGAATTCTGCATTTCTCTCAGGTGCCCAGAGAAGACTAGTGCTGCTGGTCCGTGGACCACACTTTGAATAGCAAAAATGTCATCTAGAATGTAATGGTGGCTGTTTGTGGTTGGGGTGCAGAAAGGGTCACTCAGAGTGTGGCCCAGTGACCGGCAGTGATGACATTGCCTGGGCACTTGTTAGGAATCTCAGACCTGCTGAACCAGAGTGCATTTGAACAAGATGGGGGAAGAGAGAGAGAGAGAGAGCGTGCGCACACTTCTGTCTGCTGGCTCACTCCCCAAATGGCCGCAATGGCAGGGCTATGCCAGGCCCAAACTAGAAGCTCGGAGCTTCTTCTGGGTCTCCCACATAGGTGCAGGGGCCCAAGTACCTGGACCATCATCCGCTGCACATTAGCAGGGAGCTGGATTGGAAGTGGAGCAGCTGGGTTTGGAACCAGTGTCCATAATGGATACCAGTGTTGCAGGTGGCGGCTCAACCTGCTATGCCACAACTTTGGCCCCCAGACTTTTACCTGAGTTTATTTAATTATACTCATAGGTAGTATCAGCTAAGATAAAAACTGCTGCTGTTTTTGCCTGGTAGTAGGAGATGGAAAGTTTAAATTCAAATGGGAGAGAACTTGAGAACAGAGCTAATGTCCTTCCCCGATGTCTGACTTCCACTGCTGCCCTCACAGATCTGATCGACCGGGCCTTCCGCAGATTCCGTCTCAGAGAGGTGGTCCGTCTGGCCAGGCTGAGGGACGGGCTGAATGTGTTGGAGCTGTGGCATGGCGTCACCTATGCGTTTAAGGACCTGTCCCTGTGCTGCACGGCGCAGTTCCTACAGTACTTCCTGGAGAAGCGGGACAAGCACGTCACCGTGATTGTGGGTGTGTGTGGTGGGCCTGAGCCCAGAGCGCCTCAATGCCCCGACTGCAGGTGCCCACCTGCAGGGCTCGGGGGCCTGGGGACTGTGGTGTTGGTCTTCTACAAAAAGCTTCCCAACTTTTTCTTGGGCCACAGCCCCGTGTCAGCCTGGTGGAAGCTACAGAGCCTTCCAGAAGAGTAGTTTTAAATACATAAGTGGTACCACGTTCACCAATGCCCTTTTATCCATGCATCTCTTGGAGGTTTGTGGATTCCATGTTATGTTCCTTTTTTTTAAGATTTATTTATTTATTTGAAAGGCAGAGTTTACAGGGAGCAGGGAGAGAAAATATCTTCCATCCCCTGGTTCACTCCCCAAATGGCTGCAACGGCCAGAGCTAGGCCAGGCTGAAGCAAGGAGCCCGGAACTCCATCTGGGTCTCCCACAAGGGTGGCAGGGGCCCAAGCACTTGGGCCATTTTCTGCTGCTTTCCCAGGTGTGTTAGCAGGGAGCTGGATTGGAAGTGGAGCAGCCGGGACTTGAACAGGCACTCAAATGGGATACCAGCATCGCAGGTGGTGGCTTAACCCGCTGTGCGATAAAGCCAGCCTGTATGTTAGATCCTAAGGCCCTGTCCTCCAAGTATTTGAAGGAAGATGTTGCTGTGTTTGCACAAAAATGCTATAAGAATTTGTGTTTCCATTCTTCTCATTTTAAAGAGGAGGTGTCCCCTTTCTTCTCATCCAGGAACTTCCGGGGACACAGGGAGTGCTGCCATTGAGAGTGTCCAAGGGGCAAAGAATGTGGACATCATTGTCCTGTTGCCCAAGGGTCACTGCTCCAAGATTCAGGAGCTGCAGATGACGACGGTGCTCAAAGAGAACGTGCATGTGTTTGGAGGTGGGTACTGTGCAGAGGCTCCCAGGGCGGCATGGCCCTGCCTGCACTGGGTCTGCCTGGGGACGTGGGCTGGGACGAAACCCCTCAGTTGATTAACTGGCCATCCTCCCTTCTCATCTCTCTGTCTCTTTCCCTCCCTTTCTTCCTTACACATATTTTGAGGTTGGTTTATATGCCTTGGCTTGGTTCTGGACAGGATCCTGGCTGTGTGGTCTCTTATGGTACCAAGGCCACAGATGCATAAACCAATACTAACAGACAGCCTAGGGAGTGTAGATCTACATACACACCCTGAAGACTGTCGCTCCAAGCGGGTTCAGCCTATCGGCACCATGTAGGAGGCAGCCAGGTAGAGCCGTAACCTGAGCCAGGTGACTTGAGATTTATTCCAGGGCACTGAAGTTCAGAAGGTGCAAACATGTTAAATAAGTACCTATTATTACATGTTGACCATTCACACCCTCCCTTACTGTACAGAAACAGCCAAGCCCTGCATGTAGTTAGCAGATCCCAGTATTTTAAACAGAGCTACCCATTTTGAGTTATACCCCTTGCTGAGCCAGCTCCTGAGAATCATAGCGTTTTGTGCTTGGAGAAAGACACAACCTTCTCCTTTAATATCAGGTTCTCTGTTCCTTAATGGGTTTGATCATTACAGAGACTGAGAGTCGAGGAAGATGGGATGACTATGGGTAGAGCCGTCCATTTGATTTCTACCTCTCAACACTCCATGAGAGCCCAGGTTGGCCTCCAGGTTGGGGGAGGGTCGTGGCTGAGGTTTTCTTGTGACTGTGGGCAGGATGTCCACCTGGCCTGGTCTGGTTTGGTCACTTAACTGACAGGACAGCAAGTATAATGGCAGAAAACATTCCTTCTACCACTTTAGATGATCTCACAGAGAATGCTTTTTTTTTTTTTTTTTGGACAGGCAGAGTGGACAGTGAGAGAGAGAGACAGAAAGAAAGGTCTTCCTTTTGCCATTGGCTCACCCTCCAATGGCCGCCATGGCTGGCGCGCTACGGCCGGCGCACCGCGCTGATCCAATGGCAGGAGCCAGGTACTTCTCCTGGTCTCCCATGGGGTGCAGGGCCCAAGCACTTGGGCCATCCTCCACTGCACTCCCAGGCCACAGCAGAGAGCTGGCCTGGAAGAGGGGCAACCGGGACAGAATCCGGCGTCCCGACCGGGACTAGAACCCGGTGTGCCAGCGCCGCAAGGCAGAGGATTAGCCCAGTGAGCCGTGGCGCCGACCCAGAGAAATGCTTTTATCCAACATGAACATTGTCAAGGAGCACAGAGCACACCTTACCCACCGGAGGAGCCTGCATATCCTTTATCTCCTTGTTTAAGGGCAAACAAAAAGCCCTTTCTTCTCTTTGTCATTAGCAGATGCACACATCCTGGTGTAAAGTCTGTGGTTTTGCTATCGTGGGTTTTGGCAGAATCTTCCACAATTACCTGTACTCGGCTGCATTACCTTGCAGCCTTTTCAAGATTTGAGTGCACAGCACTCAGGCTCCAAGAAAGTCCCTGTATAGCCCCGAGCACCGACATCACTACTCAGGGCTCTAGGACTGTCTTTCCCTAGCACCACAGTGGGGCACTTCTGCCCCTCTACCTCCTTCCTTCTTGCCTTGTACACAGGTTGTTGGAGGGCCTCTACTTCAAAGCAGGGCCTGACGCTCCTTCTTGACCCGTGGGTTGGAGAATGGTGCCCATGGGAGAGCGTGGCAGACTCGTAGGTAGTGATGAGTGCAGGATGTCCTAAATGTGTTCTTGCTGCAGCTAAAGGCACATTGCTATTTTGTACCTGTTCTGAGTTTCAAGAAAATAAGGCAGCAGATTTTGAAAAAAAATCAGTTCTGTTTGTAAATAGCACTGTCCAGGTTCCTCTCCTTTCTGGAGCCTTCTGGTCTGGCTTCAAGGAAGATGTGGGTTAATTCAGGAGCTGACGGAAAAGTAGTTGTTGAGTGTTTTGCACTTGGACTCAGGAAGTAGGGATGGACCACTGGATTATGGTGTGTGGCCACTGATTGGGTTTATAGAATCATCGATGTCCATGTACTTTGTACATTTGGTTCTTTCTAAGTATAGAATAATCAAGTGATAAGTATTTATCAGTTATATTCTTTGGAATGCTTTTGACTGATAGTAACAGAAAATCCAAGTCAGCCAGCTTAAACGAGGATTTTTCCAGCTCTGTAGCTGGCAGCCCAGAAGTGCGGTGTGCTCCCAGGGAGTTGATTCAGTGACTCGACATTGCCTTCATAAGCCTACCTTCTTCCCATTCTCTGCTCTGCCTTCCCCAGTATTAAGGCTCATTCCTCTGTGGCCGTGTGATGGTCACTCAAGGTACCAGGTCTCTCTCTTCCTATGTCGCTTTCTTGAATTCAGTGAAAATTTGTTGCTAGAACTCCAACAGTCCTCCTCTTACATCTCATGGACCTGAACTGAGTGATATTCCCATCTTGGAGCCGACCCTTGACCCCCCTGGGACTGCCAGGCATTAATTGGCTCCTTCTAGCAAGGGGTAGGATCACCCATGAAGGGTTCACGAGTGGATCAGGAGTTGGCGCCACCCAGTGGTGAAGGACAGCCTAACTGTCTAGACTGGTGATTTCCCCTGTCCACTTCAGCCCCCTCCCCTACAAGTATAGATCCAAGGGTGAAATAGACGCAGATAGCAGATAAGACTCGATATTGGTTTGATTGCTGGTTTGAGCTGGTTTGTGGGGTATAACTCGGACTAGTGGACAGTTAATTTACCCATAAACTTACCCAATAATTCACCCATAAATCAAATTACTGTACATACTCAGCTTCAGGGAGGGCACCTTCTGCCCACGCAGGCGCAGTGGGCAGAACACTCACCCTGTGATCTAAAGGGGTGCAGAGGGGCAGACCACACGGGAATAGTGACTGATACCACCCTAAGCTCAGCGGAGACAACCAGCGTCCACATGGGATGGCGGCGCTGCAAGTGGACACTTAGCTGCTGCCCCACAGCACCGTCCCTGCGACATTTTTTTCTTCTCTCAAGCAAGGGCAGGTGTTCAGGAACGCAGGGATGTAAGACGTGGTTTCTGTCCTTGAACTGCTTGATGTTGCCTCTGGCCAGCCGGGCCAACCCATGGGAAAGTGAAGGAACCGCGGCTGAGCGAGAGTCCCAGGTGCCCCGGGCTCAGCCTGGGAGGGCCTGTCACAGGCAGGACCCGGCCCCCGGGGCTTCTTCCCGGCCCTGAGTCACCCGTTCTCCCGTCTCCCCTGACAGTGGAGGGGACCAGTGACGAGCTCGACGAGCCCATCAAGGCCGTGTTCGCCGACGCCGCTTTCGCGAGGCAGCACAACCTGCTGAGCCTGAATTCCATCAACTGGGCGCGGGTCCTCGTGCAGATGGCCCACCACTTCTACGCGTACTTCCAGTGTGCGGCCTCCCTGGACACGCACCCTCTGCCCCCTGTGGAGGTGGTCGTGCCCACAGGAGCTGCTGGTAATGTCACAGGTAAGCAGGTTGGGGGGGAGGGGCACCAGGGGCTTTCCCGAAAAACACCTGCTTCCTTCCAGCTGTGAAGAGAAGTTCTGAAGGCTATGGAAACGCAGACTGTAGAAGCTCCCGGAAGAGTTTACCCCTGACTTCCTGGGGTGGGGGAGGGGGTGCATTTTGGGCTCTTGCTGCAGGGGAGAGGGTCATGGGTGAGCACCTGCAAACCCCGACAGCCAGACCTGGGTGCTTGACTCGCTCAGTGAAGTGTGGACGGGCGAGGGCAAGGGTCAGCTGCTGTGCCCGGCTGGCAGAGCCCTACCCCAGAAACACGGACTTCACTCCCTGTCTTGGACAGCCGCCCTCTGTGGGGACACGTGGCTTGATTGACACAAGGTGTTCCCATTCCTGGACACGCGGCCCAGACACGTGTGAGAGGCAGAGAGCTCTGGACTTAGGGTTCTGGCCCCAGCTCAGCCCCCGCCCCCCTTTCCCCAGCTGAATGACTGTGGGGCGGTCTCCTAGGCTCAGTGCCTCAGCCGCGGACAGGAGGCTGCGTTGGTTCTCACATCCCTCAGGCCTGCTGCGGGAGCAAGTAAAATCCGAGTGTGCCTCTGCACCTTTGGAAGGCTACAGTGCTGTGTGGCACGGAGGTCGATTCCTCCAATACCCGTTAATATTCTGCGCACTTGCTGTGCTTCCCAGGCGTTAACTCATGTAATCTTGACACGTGCCTCTGAAGAAGAGCTTGGCAGCTGTCCCTTGGTACGCACAGGGAATGGCCTCTGAGACCTCCCTGCCCCCTGCCGCTGGTCCCAAATCCCACAGCCGCTCAAGTCCCTTTAACAAATGGCGTGGTGTTTGTACGGAACCTCTGCAATCCTCCCGTAGACTTGAAATCATCTCTAGATTGCTTCTGACACCGAATGCAAGCCAAAGGCTGTGTAAGCCACTGTTGTACTGTTCCTTGAAGGGAACAGTGACAAGAAAAAGGTCTGCCCCTGTTCAACAGAGATGCGGCTTTTTTTCCAGTATGTTCGCTCCATGATTGGTTGAATCCTGACTGTACTCCTGTTTCCGGTTTATAATGAGGAAAGGGAGACGAAGAGGAGTCAGTCCACTTGTCTCTGACCAGTGGCTGAGCCGGGGTTACAAGGCAAGCAATGCAGAGCCTGTGGCCCCTCCAACTCAGGAGCCCAATGGCTGCTACTGTTTCTGACCATTCTATCAGTGGCATTGTGTCTGTGGGCACCATGGGGGGTGTAGGTGAGGCCACAAAAGCACCTCAGTGCCTAGAAAGCTTCTTGACTTCTGCCACTAGCAGAACAACAGTTCTTATCATCCCCAAGCTGTGGGGCTGGCGCTGTGGCATAGCGGGTAAAGCCACTGCCTGCAGTGCTAGCATCCCATGTGGGCGCCAGTTCGAGTCCCGGCTGCTCCACTCCTAATCCAGCTCTCTGCTATGTCCTGGGAGAACAGCAGAAGGTGGCCCAAGTCCCTGGACTCCTGCACCCACGAGGGAGACCTGGGAGAAGCTCCTGGCTCCTGGCTTCAGCCTGGCCCAGCCCTGGCCATTGGGGCCATTTGGGGAGTGAACTAGCAGATGGAAGATCTCCTTTCTCGCTCTCGCTCTATGTGTGTGTGTATGTGCATGTGTGTGTGTCTCCTCCTCTCTCTGTAACTCTTCCTTTTAAATAAGTAAATAAATAAATTTCAAAGTGTTCATTTTGGGGCAGGCATTTTGGCACAGCAGGTTAAGCTGCTGGTTGTGATGCCACATCCCCCATGAGCACTGGGTGGAGTCCTCGCTGCTTCGCTTCCAATCCAGCTCCCTGCTGATGCACCTGGGAAAGCAGCTGAAGATCGTGCAAGTCCTTGAGTCCTTGCCATCCACGTGGGAGACGCAGTTGGAGCTCCTGGCTCCTGGCTTTGGCCTGGCCCAGCCCTGGCTGTTGTAGACATCTGGGGAGTGAACCAGAGCATGGAAGATTCTCTTTCTCTCTCTCTTTGTCTCTTCCTCTCTCTCCATCAGTCTGCTGTTCAAACACATAAACAACAAATCTTTTATAAGTGTATAATTCAATGTTTTTTAGTATACAAGAGTATTTCAAAAAGTTAATGGAGAAATGGAATTAAAAGATATTTATTGAGTACAAAAAATTGTGAAATCAGTGCATAGATTTTTCATAATATGTGTGCTCATGAACTTCTTGAAGACTTGTGTGCATAGATTTCAAAAATTTTTTGCTGCAAAATAGACATCGTTTAATTCCCTTTTCTGTGTTTTTTTTTTTAAGTACTCTCGTGTTTACATGTTTGTGTAACCATCCCCACATGGATGTTAAAACGTTTACATCACCCTAAAAATAAGCCCTGTACCCATTAGCAGTCGCTTCTCATTTCCTCCTCGTTCTGTTCCCCCTACAGCCCGAGGTGGCCCCACTCCCCTAGTCTTTATTCTCCGTATACTTTCCTATGCTGGACGTTTTATAAATGGAATCGTTTAACATGTAGTCCTTGCATCTGCTTGCTTTCACTTAGCATAGTGTTTCCAGGGGTCACCCAGGGACTTGTTCTGTTGTGTGGATGTATCGCATTCGTTTATCAACACAGCAGTGGGTGGACATTTGGTTGTTATGAAAATTGCTGCTGTGAACATTTGTATGTCAGTTTTTGCATGACCCTACCTTTCATTTCTCTTGGTGTGTGATTGGAGTGGAATTGCTGGGCTGTATGGTAACTCTAAGCTTAACATTTCAAGAAACTGTTAGATGGTTCTCCAAAGTAGCTGCACCATTTGACGTCCCCACCAGCCACGTAGAAGTTTCCAGCTTCTCTGCATCCCTGCCAACACTTGTGATTGTCTTTTTTATTTTAGCCAATAGTGAATGTGAAGTGGTGTCTCACTGTCAGTTGGATTTTTGTTTCCCTGATGGCTAATGATGTTGAGTGTCTTGATATGTCCATGGGCCGTCTGTATATTTTCTTTGAGGAAATGACTATTCAAATCATTTGCCCACTTTGTTTTTAAAGATTTATTTGTTGGGGCCAGCGCTGTGGCATAGCAGGTAAAGCCACTACCTGCAGTGCTGGAATCCCATATGGGCGCCGGTTCGAGACCCAGCTGGTTCACTTCTGATCCAGCTCTCTGCTATGGTCTGGGAAAGCAGTAGAAGATGGCCCAAGTTCTTGGGCCCCTGCACCCACATGGGAGACCTGGAAGAAACTCCTAGCTCCTGGCTTCTGGTCGACACAGCTCTAGCCGTTGTGGCCAATTGGGGACTGAACCAGTGGATGGAAGACCTCTCTCTTTCTGCCTCTCTTTCTCTGTGTAACTTTGACTTTCAAATAAATAAATAAATATTTTTAAAAGATTTATTTGTTTATTTGAAAAGCAGAGTTATATACACACAGAAAAAGAGAGACAGACAGAGAGAGAGAGAGAGAGAGAGATCTTCCATCTGCTGGTTCACTCCCCAGATGGCCACAATGGCCAGTATTGGGCCAAGCCAAAGCCAAGAGCCAGGAGCTTCCTCCGGGTCTCCCATATGGGTGCAGGGGCCATCTTCCACTGCTTTCTTGGGCCATAAGCAGAGAGCTGGATTGGAAGTGAAGCAACTGGGATATGAACAGGCAGGCACCCGCATGGGATGCCCGAGTTGTAGGTGGTGGCTTTACCTGCTGTGCCACAATGCTGTCCATGTTTGCCCAATTTGTAATTGAGTTCTTTGTGTTTTTATTGTTGATTTGTAAGATTTGTTCATGTAGTCAGGACACAGGGCCCTCATCAGATACAACATTTGCAAATGTTTTTCCCATCCTCAATTATCTTTTCAATTTTGGGGGGGTCTTGAAGCACAAAAGCTTTAAAAGGGACAAAAGTTCCTTAACTCTGACCAAGTCAAATTGTATTCCTTTCTCTTTTGCTTCTGAAATAACCCGTGTTGTCCCCTCTTGCCTTCAGCGGGGTGCATCGCTCAGAAGATGGGCCTGCCGATCCGCCTGGTGGTGGCAGTGAACCGCAATGACATCATCCACAGGGCTGTCCAGCAGGGGGACTTCTCTCTGTCTGCCGCTGTCACACCAACCTTGGCATCGGCTATGGACATCCAGGTGGGCCGAGCGATGGGGAGGGGCGAGAGTCTGGCCCGGCTGTTGGGTGGGTGGAGCTGCACGGGGCTGAGATCCACATGGCCCCCAGGACTCTGCCTTTCTGCCCAGGTTCCCTACAACATGGAGAGGATTTTCTGGCTGCTCTCTGGCTCTGACAGCCAGGTGACAAGGGCCCTCATGGAGCAGTTTGAAAAGACGCAAGGGCTAAAACTACCCAAGGAACTACACAGCAAGGTCAGTCACTGCCCAGCCGGCACAGAGAAGGGCAAGGGTGCAGCCACATACAAGAGGAGGGGGTTGGGGGTCTGGGGTCTGTTTCCTGGCTCCCTGGGGTGAGCTGGGTGCTTCTACAGTCATTTTATATGGGTTCATTGATTGCATGAGAGGCAGTAGAGAGCATGGTCTGGGGGCAGGGGCCTCAGTCCTCAGCCAGAGGTGAGACGCTGGGCCAGTTTCCTAAACTCTGCCTCAACTTCCTCATCTGTGGTGTGGGAATAAGAAGGCCTCCCTCGCAGGGACTGTGAAATTAAGTCAGTGGATGCATCGAGGCATGTTGGGTGGCTGGAGGACTTGTTAGGAGAGCTACCAGAAGTTTTGTTTTGGGTTGGGAATTTATAACCGTCCAGCTGGACAACTGGAGGCTGCTCCGCCCCCCAGGAGGGCAGAGGCCATTGTGCTGTTGAGCCTTTTCCTGTCCCCAGAGTGGTAGGATTCTAATTAGGAAGGGTTGCCTTTGTTTTAATGCAATCTAGTGCCGATTGCTTGCATTTTAAGTTTAAAAAATAGGATCTGGAGGACTACGTTCAATTTTCTCTAACATATTCCCAGTAAGTGGTCAGCAGAGCTGTGTATGCCTAAAGTGACTGCGACCTCTCTACCAGCTGTAACCAGCCTAACACTCTTTATTTTTTTTAATTTATTTATTTAAAAGGCAGAGAGAGAGAGAGAGAGAGAGAGAGAGAGAGAGACAGCAACAGCTCTTCCATCTGCTGGTTCACTTCCCAGAGGGCCTCAACGGCTGAAGCCAGGAGCTTCTTCCAGGTTTCCCACGTGGGTGTAGGGGCCCAAGGACTTGGGCCATCTTCTACTTCTTTTTTTTTTTTAAAGAATTATTTTATTTATTTGAAATACAGAGTTACAGAAAGAGGTAGAGGCAGAGAAAGAGAGAGAGAGAGAAAGGAGGTCTTCCATCCGCTGGTTCACTCCCCAGCTGGCCACAGCAGTTGGAGCTTGGCCAATCTGAAACCAGGAGTTTCTTCTAGGTCTCCCACGTAGGTGCAGGGGCCCAAGGATTTGGGCCATCTTCTACTGCTTTCCCAGGCCATAGCAGAGAACTGGATTGGAAGAGAAGCAGCTGGGACTCAAACGGGCGCCCTTATGGGAGGCCAGCGCGGCAGGCTGGGGCTTTAACCCACAGCACCACAGTGCCAAGCCCCAACCTTCTACTGCTTTCCCAGGTGTATTATCAGGGAGCTGGATCATAAATGGAGCAGCTGGGACAAGAATCAGTACCCATGTGGGATGCTGGCATCACAGGTGGTGGGCTTAATCCCAGCTTCCTCTTGATTTTTTTTTTAAGATTTATTTGTTTACTTGAAAGATGGAGTTACAGAGAGAAGGAGAAAAGGCAAGTCCTCTGCTTCATTCCCTCCCTGGCTCAACATTTAGGAGATGCCTGCTTTGCTGGCATGACTTCCCTCCCTCCCTCCCTCCCTCCCTCCCTCCTATATATCCACTATGAGCCAGGAACTCTGCCAGGTGCTGGAGACAGAAAGACAAAATGCATTGCTCACCTTCTGTGAACTCCAGTATGGGGAGATGGCTGCACAAAGGATTCACAACATCTCACGATCTCTGTGACAGTCGAGTATATGCAGGGTGTTTGGCTTATTATAAGTGGGCAGTGTGTTTTCAGAGAATGATCAAATAAGCCAGCCACACGGGGGCAGTACAGAGACGGGGTCTTCCTGTGTAGGAGTAGCAGGGAGCCTTCCCAGAGGAAGTGCTGCAAAGCTGGGTGGGAACTGACAGGGGTTCTCACACACGCAGGAGAGGGGTACACCAACAACAGGCACCAGGTGGGCGGCGCTGTGGCAGGTAAAGCTGCTGCCTGGGACCCTGGCATCCCACGTGGGCGCTGCTTCCTGTCCTGGCTGTTCCACTTCCGATCCAGCTCTCTGCTAATGCACCTGGGAAAGCAGCAGAAGATGGCCCAAGTGCTTAGGCCCCTGCCACCCACCTGGGAGACCCGGAAGAAGCTCCTGGCTCCTGGCTTTGGATCAGTGCAGCTCTGGCTTTTGTGGCCAACTGGGGAGTGAACTAGCAGATGGAAGATCTCTCTGACTCTCCCCTTCTCTGTAACTCTGACTTTCAAATAAGTAAGCAAATCGTAAATAAATAAATAAGTAAATAAATAAAATGGGCACCAGAAATACTTGGGTGCCCCTACCCTGTGTTGGGTCAGGTTGCTGAGCAAGACTGAATGCTAATGTGCTGATTAGTGAGTCATATTCCAACTCAATTTATTGACCTAAAGCTCACATGTCTCCTTCCTCCAGGTGAGTGCATCAGCTCAAACCTGGGAAATGAGATTTGACTCTGAGCGGAACCAGCCACTCCATTGGAGCCTTTGCCTGGGGCTCCTGGTGTGTGTCTGGCTGCGTGGTGCTCGTGGGCTGCCGGTCCTCTTTCCCTGCTCCCCCAACCCTGATTCCCACCGCTCCGACCCACTCAGCTTTCAGAAGCTGTGACATCGGAGTCAGTATCGGATGCGGCCATCACCCAGACCATGCGCCGCTGCTGGGACGAGAACCGGTACTTGCTGTGCCCTCACTCGGCCGTAGCCGTGAGCTGCCATTACCGACAGACAGCAGGGCAGCAGCCCAGGTATGAGCCACAGAGTCGCGGTCACTGGGGCCCTGTGACTTGCAAGGGTCCTGGTCTTCCCCACGCAGGGGAGACAGGGTTGTGGGGAAAGGGTGCTGGGTGGAACCGTGGACCGGAAGAGGAAGTGAGAGAGACCTCCCGGGACAGCTCGGGGTGGGGGTGGCTGTGCTGGGCCTGCAGCCGCCTGAGTACTTGGCCAGGTGAGGGCAAGGCATGGCCCACCTGTCTTTCTTCCACGCACCCTCCTCTCCCCTGTGCCTTCTCCTTCCTTTCCGACCCCTCCCCCATTCTCTCACTGCTCCCCTCTGCCCCCTCTTCACCAGCAGCGTCCCCCGGTGCTGTCTGGCACCTGCTTCTGCGGCCAAGTTCCCAGAAGCTGTCCTGGCTGCGGGGCTGAGCCCCGAGACTCCCGCCGAGATCCTGGCCCTGGAGCACAAGGAGACACGCTGCACCATGATGCGGAGAGAAGACGACTGGACGCTGATGCTTCGGGCCACCGTGGAGGACATCAGCCGGCGGTGGGGGAGCCACCCCCTGCCAACCTCCCAGTAGCCGGCTTGGGGTTGGCCTCCTCGACATGGACATGACCTTCTCCATTGACAGCCAGGGGTCTCGGCTCAGCTGGTTTTGCTCTGTTCCCTGGCTGCCCCGTGCGCTGTGGCCGCGCTGTGCCTGGGCACGGGGGAGGTGGTGACCACTGCTGGCCAGGCCTGCAAAGGAATATCTTGGAGTGCAGAGTCAGCCTGGTCTCCAGGGGCTTCGGACCCCAGACCTGTGAAGCTGGGGGCTGCTCACTACCTCAGTGCAGCCTTGGGGCCTGACAGTCTCTGTACCTGAGTGTATCTGACCCCAAAGCTGGATCCGGGAGGCCTGGCACACCCTGTCCCTGCAATAGAAGCACCTGTTGGGTGTGATGGAGATGAAGTGCGTCCCGAGGGCGGATCCTTTCCCGGCGGAGCTGCAGGAACGTGATGGGTGGGTTGCTGGGTGGGGGTGCTGAGGGCTGCGGAGCCTTGAGGGGGCAGCAGGGCAGGCAGGCGCAAGTGGCCCTGGGAGTGATGGTGTCGGCCAGGTCGGCAGACCCAGGAGTGCGCTACAGGGTTCTGAGCCTGTGGGGATCCAGAGTAGTTTTGGACAGACAACAAATGTTAATAAGGCAAGCCTCTGGCCGTGGACCCCGAGTGGGGGGTGGGGTCCCTCTGGAAGGCCGGGGAGGCAGGTGCAGGGCAGACGGATTCTTTGGCCACTAGAGGTCAGTATTGCCCCACTCTGAGGGCTGCTGTGCCATGACCCGGTGGGCGTCTGAGGTCCAGAACCCGCTTCCCCAGCCCAGGTCTGAACGCACTGGGCTGTCCTCTGTCCGGCGCCACCCCACAGCAGAACGTGCAGGCCCTGCCTCTGTGCGCTGCCCAGGGACTGCCCAAGAGGCCAGACGACTCCGCAACTGAGGAAGTCCCCAGGGAAGCGTGGCTTTGCACAATAGGGCTGGAGGCTGGAGCCACAGGAGGGTGGGGGGAGTGTTCCCAGGGGAATGGCCTTTGTGGGCTCGGCACTTCATTTCTGAAACGCGCTGATGGAAACCCGGCTGTTTCCCGTCAGGCACAGTAGGCCTGGTGCTTAGGCTCACCGCGCTGTGGGAGGCCCATGAAAATGTTCTGGTTTAGTTATTTTTAAATGAGGCAAATTGAGTCTCATTTATTTTAGAGGCAGAAACCGCAATCTCCCTCCCCCAGATGCCTGCAACAGGCTGAAGCTGGATCCGGGAGCTCAGGCCGGGCCTCCCACGTGGGTGGCAGGGATCCCGGGGCTTGAGCCATCACCTGCCGACTGCAGAGTGCGGACTGGAAGCTGGAATTGGATGCGAAGCTGGGACCGGAGTCCACGCACTCAGCTACGGGACGTGGAGGTCCCAGCCCGCAGCTTTACTCTGTACCAAAAGCCTACCCCTCACTTCTTATAAAACCGAAAGCAAGCAATGAATACAGACGAATTGTGTTCACCTTTCTGCCAACACAGGGCCATGGAAGTCCTAAGGGGGCTTCCGTGCCTGGTGAGACTTCCCACAGGTTAGCTCGTCCAGTCCTGGCAGCAGCCTGTGAGCCAGGGGCGGCCCTTCCCCCATTTTACGCTTAGGGGACTGGGGAGCCCCGGGAAGGCGCAGAGAGGCGGAGACTCCCGCCAGGCGTCGCAGCTGCCAGTGTGGCGCGGTTTTCACCATCCCGACTCCTGGACATCCAGCCGCGTGCTTGTGGGGCTCGCTCCTTGGCCCTGCTTCTGAGTCCTTTTCCCCTCTCCTTTACTCCGGTGAAGTGGATTCGGGGGCTCTCAGGGCCTCTGTGAGGCCCCAGAGCAGGGCCAGGGTCACAGGGAAACTCCTGCCCTCTGAACGGTTCTGGAATGTGCCCAGCCCTGAGAGGCCACCACCCCTGTGAGAGAGGGCCCAGAACGAGCACAGCACAGAGGGACGGGAACTGAACTGCAGGGTGCACCTGCCACAGGTCGGGGAAGTGGGGCAAGCAGAGGAAGACAGGGGAGGTGGGAGGTGTGAAGAAGCTCCTGCCCCCTTAGACACCATAGGGAGGGAAGCTGCAACCCCCGGCTGGCTCCCCAAACTCGTAGGTTGCGGCTACAACTTCCAGCACCTCCAAACATAACCACTTGGAGATAAAATCTTTAAAAAGGTGGCTAGGGGCTGGCCTGTGATGCCGGCATCCCATACACTCATCCCTCTTGTTCCAGTCCTGACCGCCCTGCTTCTAATCCAGCTCCCTGCGAATGTGCCTGGGAAAACAGTGGAAGATGAACCAAGTACTTGGGCGCTTGACGACCACATAGGAGACCTGGATGGAGTTCCAGGCTCCTGGGTTTGGCCCTATCTAATGGAGCCATTTGGGGAGTGAACCAGCAGATGAAAGAGCCCTTCCTCTCTCTCCTTCAATCTTTTTTTTTTAATGATGGTTAATTTAAAATGAAGTCTTTAGAGTGGGATTTAAATCCAGTATGACCAGTGACCTTGTAAGAAGAGGTGAGGGTTCTGTGCTGTGGCATAGTGGGTAAAGCCACTGTCTGCAGCACTGGCATTCCATATGGGCGCCGGTTCAAGTCCCGGCTGCTCCACTTCCCATCCAGCTCTCTGCATGCCCTGGGAAAGCAGCAGAAGATGACCCCAAGTCCTTGGGCCCCTGCACCTGCATGGGAGACCCGGAGGAAGCTCCTGGCTCCTGGCTTCGGATCAGCACAGCTCCGGCCATTGTGGCCATTTGGGGTGTGAACCATCAGATGGAAGACTCCCTCTCTCTCTTTCTCTTTCTCTCTGCCTCTGCCTCTCTGTAACTCAGCCTTTCAAATAAAATAAATAAATTAAAAAAAAAAAAAAAGAAGAAGAAGAGGCAATGCAGACGCAGACCGGTGCATGCGGAGGGAAGACGGCAGAGGGAGGAGGCTACCCTCTGCAAGCCAGAGAGAGGCCTTGCAAGGAAACAACCAGCTGACACCTTGGTCTTGACCTTCAGCCTTCCAGAATGGCAAGGAAATAAATTCTGCTGTTTAAGCCCTCCTGTCTGTGGTGTTCTGTTATGGCAGCCGGAGCTCGCTCACACGGGACCCCCACCACCACCACCACCAATTAGTGGAAACAGCAGAGCTCCCAGTACCGCGTGAAGTTAGAATCTTGCTGGGGTCTCTCCCAAGTCTTTCGTTTTCGGGTTGTGTGATTGCCAAGAAGCCATGGCCTCTCTGTGCGCCTCCGTCTCCCCTGCTGCTGTCCCACGCCTCGCCTTGCAGCTTTGCTTGCAGGACCACGGGACATAACGCCTTTCCAAGCGCTTAAGAAACTCAAGCGCAGTCCAAATGCTCCCCGGTAACACGATCATCGTGTACATCAAACAGCGAGTACTTTTGAGCTATCTTGTGCTTTTTACTAATTGCTGGGTGAATTTGTCTTATCTTGCCTGGAGCTTGCCTCTCCCTGGCGGGTGAAGTGCCGGTGGGGCTCGAGGCACAGGCGGGGACGCGGTCCTGGCTCAGCCCTGTGCCCAGCGGCAGGCTCTGCCAGGGTCACGGAGGGCCTGAATGCCGCAGGCCAGCCAGTAGTGGTTCTGCTTGCTGGTGACAAGCCCTGTAAATTTGCAATGATGCTGATGATAGAATTATTCCCCCTCTATCACCAGGGGTGTCATATCGCCAAGGAAACTTGTTCTAGGCGCTGATTCCCGAAATCCTCATGAGGGAATGAAACCCAGAGAGGTTAGGTACCGTTTCCAAGGCCACACAGCCAGCGAGTGCTGGGGGACGGACGCGAGGCTGCGTATATGGCTGGTGGGCTCGTGCCTGGCTGCTGTGTCAGCAGGGTCGTCTTGGGCCTGACCACCAACAAATCCCCAAGTCCGTGTGGGACATGCTGAGGGCTTGATGGGCAGGTGGTGGTGTCTCAGGTGGAGGAGACGGCCAGCTGCTCTGGGACGGGGGCCACGGAGCCAGGAACTTCGGGGCAACTTCCCTCTGCCCAGGCTCCCCATTCATTGTCTCTTATCCAACGCTCAGTCCCAAGCAGGGACACAGCTTGCAGTTGGCTCAGTGGAGGCCACAAGGGTTCAGGTGGATTGGGGCCCAGCTCTGCACAAAGCTCCTTTAAATAAAGGTCCCTGTGAGCTGCCACCTGCCCCACTGGGCAAACACGCCCTCCAAATTCTTATGCAAGCCCAGCGTGAGGCCAGCCCGTGATTCCCACGGCCAGCAGAGGGCAGCAGAACACCCAAAATCCTGCCTCTCTAAAGTGAACAGAAACCCCAGCTCCCACCTCCGCACCCCACAGGAAATAATGGCTTTGTTCTCTCGGAATGAGGAGCCCTGGAAGTCAGAGAAGGGGGTATTTTAGACTTTAATTTGCTGTTTCTCCATTCTAATATGCCCCCAATGTTGTCTTTGTAATACAGTTTTTGTTTGTAATACAGCTACTGAAAACATGTACAAGCATAACACTATCCACTATGCTTCTACTGAAGCTCCATACAAGGAAAAGCAGAAATTGAGAAGCAGAAATTGGTACTGGTGTTGTGGCACAGCAGGTAAAGCCGCTGCCTGTGATGCCGGCATCCCATATGAGCTCCGTTCGAGTCCCCACTGCTCCACTTCTGATCCAGCTCCCTGCTAAGGCACCTGGGCAAAAAACAGAAGAGGGTCCAAGTACTTGGGCTCCTGCCTATGCTCATGAGAGACCCTGATGGAGATCCTGGCTTCAGCCCCGCCATTGTGGTCATTTGGGGAGTGAACCTGTCAATGGGAAATCTCTTTCTCTGTGTCTGTTCCTCTGTGTAACTCTGCCTTTCAAATAAAAATAAATCTTTTTAAAACAAAGATAAGCAGAAACAAAATTTCAAATTAAATCTGAGCAAATCTACAAACAAAATCAATACAATCAGAGGCACCTAATTGGTCTATAATGCAGGCTGTGGCGCACTCCAGTCTCTGGAGCAGTACCTGGGTCTGGCACGGAGCCTGTAGGGCATGTTGTTGTTTGTTTAGCGTATTTGTCTCCTGTTTGTGGCGGAATCACTTTGCTCTGTTCCTATTCTAGACACAGGGAGACAGCCCCAGCCTGGAATTTGTGATGTCACATGGCCTTTACTTGGTGCCAGCTTGTCCTATGTGTGTTCTGGTTGTCTCTCCTTACTAGCTTGTGACAGTTGAAATAGCATTGTTGCTTGCAATTGTAAATGCAAATGCGAATGCAAATGCTGCCGCTGAGCTTGCTGACATTCTGGGATAAAACGAGTTTTCAGGTGGCCAGATTGAGGATCTAGAAATGTATTTAGAAAGAATTGTGGGCCGGCGCCGCGGCTCACTAGGCTAATCCTCCGCCTTGCGGAGCCGGCACACCAGGTTCTAGTCCTGGTCGGGGTGCCGGATTCTGTCCCGGTTGCCCC